TTCTTATTCTTTTTCTTTTTCTTTTTTCTTTTTTCTTTTTTCTTTTTTTTTTGATTTCTGATTTTTAAAATAATAGAATATAGAATCAGTGAAATTTTCTACTTTTGAGTAACCTATTCCTGTCTACCCAAATCCGTCAAATTGAAATCTAGCTAGCTAAGGAAAAAAAGGAACTGCCGGCCATTTAGTATGGGCTAAATGACCAGCAGCCGGTCAAGAATTTCATCCATACGATAAAACAAACCAAACTTAAAACTTGAACAAACCTTTTCATGCTTTCTATGATATCGTTTATAGCACTAGCTTTATTAAATTGAATTTCATAGAAATTTAAAAAATGTAAGTAAAAATTTGACAAGTATAAATGACTTAAAACAAGGTGAAGGCGATCTACCACGGGGAATTGAATTTTAGAAATTACATCTCGACAGAAGGCGTTCCTCTGGAACGTCAGAAGGAGTGTGGGTGGAGTAGCGAATTTTTCAAAGATCACAACACGCAAAAGGACACCAAAGCTTATCTTAAAAATTACATCGACAGAAGGCGTCCCTCTGCAGCGTGTGAAGGAGTGCGGAGTAGCGAGTTTTACAAAGATCACAACACCAAATAAGACTGGAAGTCGTATTTCCTTTAGGTTCTACTAACCCACGCGATTGAAGCCAGAATACTGCCGACTGAGTAGCTGTATTAATACAAATAAATATCTGAATTACAGTCGCAGAAATCTTCTTTTACCGCTCAATTATATTACTTCTAAAGCCCGGAGTTACAGCCTCAGCCGCTAAGGCAGCGTATGAGCCCTTAATCTATGAACACGTCATTCAAATCCATATATGGGTACTCCTGCGCAAAAATGCATTTTTCGCGAGATGGAGAAGAAAATAAACGAGGGGCTCTTGGAGCGTGCACTGGGTTGCCCTATGTGCGGGTATGCTGGAACTTATTTAACACTTGATCTTTAACAACTAGAATTCGCGAAACATCTTGGTAGTGGGAGTCAAATGACGCCATCATGCAAACGCCCTATTTAAGCGATGCTGTGATATTCACCAAAAGGTGAAGCATGCTCGTTTGTTGATTTGTGCCGCTTGCAGAGATAAGTAGAATTGGAATCAAAAAACCTCTCTCCGTTATTTATAAAATTCGCTTGTGTTAAAAATACTAAAACAATTATTCGCTTCAAGACGTATACCACATTCACACCTAAACGTGTTTAGTTAAACTATGTTTTCATTAGGAAAAAAATTGAGAAACTAGAAACCTACAATATAATGAAACTTTCTAAAATATTATCAGAGCAAGACAAAGGATAGTTTACATGCATTATTTCACCAAATATTGTGCAGTGTTCGTAGATAGTTTTCCAAACCTGTTTAGTTAAACCAGTTTTAAACAGTTTTAAGCCTTGGTGTGAATGGGGTAGTAGATTTGTTACCAATGGGCGCGGCAGATTTATTATATTCACATGTGTAAAAATACTAATGATACATATTCCTCATTTTTTAGGTGTACCAAGACAATGTGGGCCCCTGTTTTTTGACCCCACAGCAAAAGAAGGTATAAGTAAAATAAATAATTATGATGATAATAATAATCAGAATATGCGTATGAGAATATATATATGAAATATATATTTGTACTGCGGTCGTAATTTATCAAAATCAGAATGTATGAGTCAATCAGAATTGTCAGGTATAAGCTAATCAGAATTGTCAGATATAAGCCAATCAGAATTGTCATGTATCAGCCAATCAGAATTGTCAGATATAAGCCAATCAGAATTGTCATGTATCAGTCAATCAGAATTACCATGTATAAGCCAATAAGAATTGTCATGTATCAGTCAATCAGAATTACCATGTATAAGCCAATAAGAATTGTCATGTATCAGTCAATCAGAATTGCCATGTATAAGCCAATCAGAATTGTCATTTAGCAGCCAATCAAAATTGTCATGTATAAGCCAATCAAAATTTTCATATATTGATCCATTGAATCCCATTGCATCCCGTTTTACCCAATGTTAGACACGCTAGATTTACCTTTTTAAATGCACGAATATACTTTCCAAAGGAATGACACGGGATCTAAAATGGGAACATTGCACTGCCGAAACGAATAAGTTCTATTTGTTTTAGTAAACAAATCATGAGATTTTTTTAGGTATTAATAGCTAATCAGAATTCAATACAAATAATCTGTGATATTACTTCCTCAGGACCACCAAATGTGACATCTGAAGTCTATGTGTATCACGCCTTTAAAAATGAAGGGATCAACTTATCTTGTAAAATTCGATCAAATCCTGAAGCTAATGTAACCTGGTTGTTCAATGGTAAAGATATTCGTTCCTACCCAAACAAGGACCATTTTACGGAGAAAACGAGTGACTGTGGTTCGGTTCTCACTAGTATGATGACACTGACCAGTGATGGAGGACGGTTCGCATGTCTGGCTCAGAACGTCATGGGGTATGGAAACCATACCTTTAAAGTCGATGTTATACGTAAGTACGAAATATCATTTTCAATAATAAGTGACAGGCCGAGTGCACTGCTGCTACGCCTTTTAGTCTTGAGTGAAGTCACGCTACGCCTTTAAGTCTTGAGTGAAGTCACGCTACGTCTCTTAGTCTTGAGTAAAGTCACGCTACGCCTTTTAGTCTTGAGTGAAGTCACGCTACG